CATGACCCAGCAACTGATGGTTGCTTCCGGCCTGTGCGCAACTTCAACTCCAACGATTTGGCGATCTTATATGGTGTACTGACAAATTTCGTGAGCAAGAGAATCAGTCACGTGGAAAGGACTGGGTGCAGCAACAACTCTGACGACAGCGGACAAGAACACTGTGCCAAGTAGTGAGCCATCACCGCACCAATTAAGACTTCATGCAGTGGTTAAAGGAACTGAATATTATAGTACGCATGCGGGTGACCGCTACAAACTATAAATACCGTGCAGTCCGTGCATGTATCACCTTTATATTCGCATGTCTCAGACTGTTCTTCTATTACTTAGGCTTAAGGATTTCCGAGGGAATCCGAAACGTCGGGACAAAAACCTCTTAGTCCAGTGATCGCTTCTTCTTCTAAACTGACTCCTGGAAGTCTCATATTCAATTATATTGGCAATTTCTGCACAAGCGCTGGACAAGTTGACGAAAACCACGATCCACGGAAGTTTATCCTACGGCTAGATAATCAGGTTAGACCGACAAAGTAAACGAAACGGTAATATTCATGCAAGCTAGAAAATGCTATAGGGTGGGTATAAGGTTTTAAAATAAAGCGCAACTATTCGGTCGTAGAAAGGGTGGGGTAAGAATAAGCCGAGACCGGTTGTATTAAGAAAATTAAAAAAACGAAAGTAAGTCTTTGGTAAACAGCTGCACATTCTCTGCCTATGTAGGATTTGATGAATGCTCCAAATATCACCATATCCATAATGTTAGCTTGGGCGTGTTCTAACCAAGTCCATTTCAGGTACTTGACACGATGGAAGAAAATGGGACGTCATTCGGAATTGAGAACATGTGCTAACTTGAGTGACGGCGCCTGGGCAGGGCAATTTGTGAACCGAAAACTGTTATTTACGCTGGGTGGTGATAGGTAAATAAGCATAAACAGCATTACGTAAAGCTTTTTGAGGTGTCAAAGGGTCTTTTATGGCAGCTACTTGCACTTTTAACACATTATGCATACCCTTGAAAGTCAAATGTGTCAGCCATTACGGGTTTATGGGCTGAACTCACGATGCAAAAATTAGAAACTATGGACCTACTACCAGCCAACACCAAGTTGTGGGTACGCTGTGTGGATGATGCGTTTGTTATTGTTAAGAGGGACCAGTTGGAAACAGTTTACAAAATCGTTAATTCAACGATGTGAGGAATCACGTTACGCTCAACAAAGAAGTTAACAGTATACTCCGATTTCTTGACGTCCTCGTACAGCGGAATACCGACGGAACTCCTTGAAAGACACCTGGGGAAGTATCAGATCCAGGGGGCACACAAGCCGACGGCAACGTTACGAAATCAGCTTGTAAGCCCTAAGGATAGGGTTCGCTGTTTGGACAGAAAAGAGGTCGTTCACAAAATTACGTGCAGCCTTTGCGATGTAGTTTATTGTGGAAGAACAGGAAAGTCAGCCTCCACACACTTAAATGAACATCAATTAGCGGTAAAGAGGTGAGATAACCTGTCCCAAGTAACAATGCATACACTCGAAACTGGGTACAAATTTGCATGGGACCAAACCCGCATTGTAGGTTCCGGCCCATATAGGAAAGGCCGCGAGGTTTTAAAGGCCATTACTTCTAACGACTAATGCATCAATAAGCACGTTAAATTAGATTCGATGCACGCCAACATCAAAGAAGCTTGGAAAAGGCTTCAACCGACAAGCCATGCTACAGACCAACGATGACAGAACATTATAGATTCTCAATAGAGGAGAATATGCGAGTTCCAGGCAACAGTTCAGAAAAAGAAGATGCGATCACTGGAACAAGAGCTTTATTTTCCTTTTGTTTCGGATTCTCTCGGGAATCCTTAATCATAGGTAATAATAACATAGTCATGGTCATGCGCATATGGGTTGGAGACATGCACAGGCTGCACGGTATTTATAGTTCATAGTGGTCATCCGCATGTGTGTGATAATTGTTCTCCTCTGTTGCCACCCCTTGGGTCTTAAGTGATGTGGTACTGACTTGACACTTCGCGTTCGACTCACTAATTGCCACAGTTTGCTTGTCAGCATTAGATGCGGGCTTGATAATTGCAGGTATGTTTAAAATACGCACTGTTCTGCACAAATTTTCCACTTGTGCGACGATGACCTGGTGTGCCAGAATCGAAAATTTACAGTAAAATTTGTTCAATTTTCCCAAAGACCTCCTTCTACCAAGCTCTGCTAACGATCGGTGAACGTTATCCAGCGAGTTAATTAGCCGCTGGCCCCATGGGTATGCATCCGAAGGCTTGAGTATGCTTGCTAACTGCTCTTCTGCACTCTTTGATGGAAATCTTTACATCTCTAAAACCGCAAATGTTTGCCCACACGCCTTGAACTAGTCCACTTGCCGGAGAGAAAGGCAACTGTGCTTTCATTGTTTTCCACCTTAGAAGATGCAAGCCTTACCTGCCTTCCGTCCTCACCTTCTCCTCGTCCAATCGACAGACGTGTACCTTGTGATCCGGTGGTACTTGAGGATAACCGGAGATGCGATGCAGGGGACTGGTGCGAGTACTGAGACGGACTTTGAAGGTGGCGCCCGGCGGTCCCTTAATGTCCACCAGTAAAGTATCATTGGGGCAACCGCGACTGAAAAGATGCAGACGTCTGCAACAGGAGCCTCGAACACGTACGCGCCCATCGGACTCTTTGGCCGGAGAGCTGGATCCCAGAGCCAGGGGGGTGACTCTGAGTCGCTGCAACCCTACTGTTCGCCGTCCAACATCTTCACAGGTGACAGAGAGGTAATTAGTAAGTAGTAATAGTAGTAGTAATATTAGCTAGAGA